CTTGTAAAGAATACAACTCAAAACTGAAGTTTTATGAAATTTGTTGAAAGATTATTGGAATGGAAAGCAATTGACTGTTGGTACACTCCACAACAAAATGGTGTGGCGGAAGAAAAATTATAAACCATAGAGGAGATGTCCAAGTCTATTGCTACATGTAGAAGGGGCTACCCAAAAACCTTTTTTGGGGTGGGCTGTGTTTATGCAGCAATTTACTTGATGAATAAGATGTCCTACCAAAAGCCTTTAAGGACAAAACTCCATTTGAAGCTTGGAGTGGAAGGAAACCATCGGTGAATCACTTGAAGGTGTTTGGTTCCATTTGTTATGCTCATGTTCCAAAAGAAGTGAGGCACAAGCTTGCTGAAAATAGTAAGAAATGCATCTTTGTGGGTTATAGCGCAAAATCCAAAGGCTATAGACTCTTCAGTTTGGATCAAAAGAAGGTGATTATTTGTAGAGATGTTCTCTTTGATGAGAAGGCGTCTTTTGATTGGAAGGAAAAGAAAGTCCAAGATCAAAGCATTGCTTTCAATTAAGAATCGGAAAGTCTACAAGTTGAAGATGTTGCAACTCTTGAATCTCCACAAAGAGTGTCACCAATTGCTAGTTCACAATTTTCTTCAAGTTCAAGTTCAAGTTCAAGTTCTTCATCTCCAAGTTCAAGTCCAAGAAATATAAGGAGTCTTAGTGATGTGTATGCAAGATGCAATTTATGCATTGTTGAACCTGAAAATTTTAAAGAGGCAATTAAAGATGAAGCATGGAAGAAAGCAATGGAAGATGAAATTCTTGTGTATGAAAAGTTGTCAAAGGAAGATGGAAGCAAAGAAGCTGAAGCATCTTGTTATAGAAGTTTGATTGGAAGTTTGTTGTACTTAACTGCTACAAGACCGGACATCATGTATGCTACAAGTTTATTGTCTCGGTTCATGCACAGTCCAAGCCAAATTCATTTTGGGGTTGCAAAAAGAGTGTTGAGATACATTCAAGGTACACTTGATTATGGAATTTTTTATGAGAAATTTCTTGATGCAAAGTTAATTGGATTTTGTGATAGTGATTGGGCCGGATGTGTTGATGATATGAGAAGCACTTCTAGGTATGCATTTTCTCTTGGATCGGGTGTAATTTCATGGTTATCCAAGAAACAACAAACTGTGGCACAATCATCTGCTGAAGTCAAATATATTTCAGCATCATTGGCAACTACACAAGCAATTTGGCTGAGAAGAATTTTGGATGATTTTGGTGAGAAACAAGGTGAAGCTACTCCAATTATGTGTGATAATAAGTCTGCTATTGCTATGGCAAAGAATCCCGTCTACCATTCTCGTACCAAACACATTGCTATCAAACATCATTTCATTAGAGAAGCTGTGGAAGATGATGACATTCAAATCAAGTATTGCAAGACTGAAGAACAAGTTGCGGACATCTTCACGAAAGCTCTACCAAGGGACAAATTTGAATTTTTTAGAGAAATGTTGGGTGTCACACAATATGGCATTAAAGGGGAGTGTTAAAATTAATGCCATATTTACATTAGATACATTGGATACATTGCATACATTGGATACATTGAGTTCATACATTCTTTGTATTCATGTATTTTATATTTATTAAGTACATTGTGTAGATTATATTCATGTACTTAATTAATTACAAGTTTGTTTAGGTTCATGGATCTTATTCATTGAACTTATGTATAACCTTCTCTATATAAAAGGATGTAAGCCTATGGGCAATATATATGAATCAATAAGTGATAAAAATTCAATACAAAATATAGTTCATTCTAAAGAGAGTTTTATCAAAAGCTAACAGGGAGGAAAGAGAAAATCATTGTTCCAATGCCCAGCAATGTGATGAAGGCCAAGTAGAGATAAGAGAGGAAGGGTTGGCAGAGGAAGGTATAGTAGACAGGAGGATAAAAGGAGGTAGTTATGAGGACAACAATGCCAGTATAGTCAATCCTGAGCATGAGGTAGCGAAGGCGTTCCAAGTGGCAGGCAAGGAGGTGGCAGGTGCTGCTGGCTAGTAAGTAGAACATGGCTCCTCCCAAGAAGGCGAAGAAGGGCCATCTTGTGATGGGTTGTTGAATCATCAATGGGGATGCCATGCCATCTTTTACACTATGCTGCATATAACACAAAATGGAAAAAGTCTATTCTTAGAGAGAATATATATAGAATTCTGAGTGTGATGCTTTTAAAATATAGGTTACTTTATTTGTTAGACCTTTTGACTTAAAGTGATTAACTCAACAACAGAGGTGACTCAAATCTTTTTGAGGCCTTTGATCAGAAATCTAGGAGATACCCTTTTACTTGTATTTTTATTTATTGGTTATATGTAAAATTACTAATTAAGTTTGTATACTTAAGTTTTGCTAACATATCTTTTTCAATTGAAATTATGTCCAATTAATTTTGTTTTCTTTTTGATATAGTCAATCTTAGGTATCATTTTATCAACCAAAAAAAAAAAAAATTTGTCGAAGCAATTGTTGCTGGTATTCTCAATAATATTTTCTATACAATGCATGCATTTGGGAAAGAAAGAATGCAAATTAATTGTTTTCTTCTATTCAAAAAATTTCTACTAAAACTTCTAAGAGTAATGTTGTAGATCATATCTGAGTAACAATAATGCCACACTCCACATTTTTATATCATGTTATGCTTACTATTGTACTTATTAACACAATACTAATGTAATAAGTCCCATCACTAATGTATATTTCCAATGTAATACTAACACAAGTAAGAAAAGATGATATAAAAATACAGATGATCATATATTATAGCATTTATCAAATGCAGTCAATCTAGCATTACTCAACTTTTAATTCCATTTTGTGTGCGTGTGTGTGTGTGTGTGTGTGAGAGAGAGAGAGAGAGAGAGAGAGAGAGAGAGAGATACACTGCATAACTTGCCATGTCATTCTGTATTATTATTACTTTCTATTCATATAGAATCTCAATGAAAGTACCATAAACAAACCAATGACAAAGAAATATAAATTACCAGAACAGAATCATCTCTGTGATTGGAAATGGAGAGCTGCTCAGGCATACAGTTGGCAAGTAGTTGAGAAATATGCAAACTGGAAAGTGAGGAAAGCAAGTCAGAAGGTATATGCTCATCTTTTAATCTGTGAAAGTCAATCATGTTTGGCAATGAAGCAATGCAATTCTTGAGCAGTGCCTGAATCTTTTGCAGATCAATTCTTTTGAGCATCTCCGAAAACTGTTGCAGAGAGTGAATGTCTATCACATTTGGAATTTTCATTGTTGTGTAGATTGTCAAGCAAAGGAAAATGAAGAATCCCATCAAATGCCTGAAATCAATGCTTGTAATGTATAAGCTATAGCCATATAGGGAAAGTATTTTGGATTCAAATTATGCAAAATGTTGGCTTTTTTTTATGTAGCGAAAACGTGTAAGAGAAAAAATTGCAATGGCGAAAAACTCTATAATTGTAACAACCCGCATTTATGTCTTAGTCATGTTTGTGAGCATTTGCATGATTATGACTCGTTGAGCTTGCATTTGTATGTTTATGACTTGTTTTGCCTAAGTAAGGTCCATGCCTTGTTTTGTGTTTATGTGATTTGCCAAAGTGTTGTGTGCAGGCTTTGTTCCTCCCTTGGTGTCTCAATCCTAAGTTATGTTAAGCCTAGGTTATGTCAAGCCTAGGTCATGTTACGCCTAGATCATTCCAAGCCGAGGTCATCTTCAGTTTAGAATTATCTTGGAACCCCTTTGCTTGACCTCCACCTTTTCTCTGACATATTGGCCGAGATGTCATTATCTAGGCCGAGGTGTTCATCACCAAGGCCGAGATGTGTATTATCTAGGCCGAGATGTTACATTTGCACCTAAGTGATCTTGTCCTGGAGTGGTATGACCTAGACCGAGGTGTGGCACATCTAGGCCAAGGTGTGGCACAGCTTAGTCAAGTGTTGTCCTTCCTAGCCGAGGTCATTGTCACCTTAGTTGCCGAAGCTTTGTCCTTAGCCGATGTCATCACTTGTCGGAGTGCCTTCCCAGGTAGCTTGTTAGATACACTTTGTCATAGTCTTGTCTTGTCATAGTCTTGTCCTGTCAATCTATCATCTTTTTTAGGAGAGCCAACCAGCCGTTGCCACATGTCCGAGCTGAGTGTTAAGTCAGCCTGCAAAGGGAGAAAACCTATCATTTGTTATATCCTTGTTTTTGAAGAGAAGAGAGAAGCTCTAGGTGAGGAAGAGGAGTTCTTGAGAGGAGGTAGATTTCCAAGCTTGATCCCTAGAGATCGAACCGTTAGATCCGTGTTCTAAGGTTAGATTCTTGATCTGCTCTTGTCGTTCTTCATGTTCATGTTATTGCATTGCATGATTGAATATGATTTGTAAGCCATGCATTGCTTTGAAGTTCGGTTTTGGAAAGAGAAAATAGTATTCATGTGTTCTTCAAGAAAAGTCATGTTTTGATCCGAAACCTCATGCCTAGATCCATGTTTTTGTGTTTGTTTTCATATGATTTTCAAGTATGGGTACCCAGGTCCATGATTTCGAACTCATAGCATGAAATCCCAGATTTTTGTAATAATGAAGTTATGATTTTAGCATTCATGTTCTTCATGGTCTTCATGTTCATGTTCTTCATGTTCTTCACGGGTGGAAACCCAGATCTCCAGACCTCACTTCCCTAAGTGTAGTCACCGAGATCACTCTTGCCTAGATCACACACTTAGGCCAGGCATCGTATCTCACCTTGGCCTACCTTGCATGATCACTTACACCTTTAGTTTGTGTTGTGCGCACCTCGGTATGCAGTCGCACGCCGAAGCCTAGGCAGCCACAACTCGGCCAGGAGGTGTGGGACCTCGACAAAGACCTGGTTGGTACACAGCATGTCTTCCTGACATGTAAAACAGTGTTTTGACTTCCAGCATGTTTTCCCGAGATCATTTGCATGCATGTAAGACTTGTTTTGTGAAGTGCGTTCAGTAGACTTTGCCATGTGTTTGTAGGACTTGGACCTTTGCCTTGATCCCGACGTCCGAAGAGCTATGTGAGTAGTATTTTTAATAAAGCTATGTTATAAGGTTTTGATAAAGCTTTGCCTTGTTTTGGTAAAAGTATTTGTTAAGCATGAATGATATCCCTATTTTATGTATCAAGTATAAGCTTTGTTTCGGATGACATTCTTAGAAAAGAGTCCTTAGTTGCAGGGGACTATAATGCAGCTGCACATCTTGTTTTGAAAGTCCCTTGTGCTGGAGGACTCTAAACGTTCGCAGTACCCTCGTGTTAGGGGGCTACGGTTGATAAAGCTTTGCCTTGTTTTGGTAAAAGTATTTGTTAAGCATGAATGATATCCCTATTTTATGTATCAAGTATAAGCTTTGTTTCGGATGACATTCTTAGAAAAGAGTCCTTAGTTGCAGGGGACTATAATGCAGCTGCACATCTTGTTTTGAAAGTCTCTTGTGCTGGAGGACTCTAAACTTTTGCAGTACCCTCGTGTTAGGGGCTACGGGCCTTTGTAACATAGGTCCTTTGTGCTAGAGGACTCTAAACTTTTGTAGCACCCTTGTTTGAGATATCTCCCTTGCCACCGACTGCCTTGTGCGGGTGGGTTTGTCTAATTGATTCCGAGTTGATTATTCCCTTGTTTTGAAAGTCCTTAGTGTCAGGGGACTATAATGCAACTGCACATCTTGTTTTGAGAGTCCTTCCGTGCTAGGGGACTTTAAGCCTAGGTAGCACCGTCCTTTCGTGCTAGGGGACGTTAAGCCTAAGTAGCACCCTTGTTAAGATATCGACCACCGACGGACTATGAACGGGTGTGCTCGATGCCGAGGTTATGCCTTTGTTTTGCCCGGAATGTCATCACCCCTTGTTTTAAGTTGACGTATGTTAAGTAAGTAAGTAAGTTTGTTTTGAAAGACCAAGGTTCGGTTGATGTTTTATTTCAAGTCAAGCTAAGCTATGTTATGTATGGTTTGACAAGGATATACTATGTATTGTTTGAAAAGATCTCGGGTATCATTCATTTAAACCCTTTATTACTTGTACCATTCACTGAGTATCCAAGCTCACCCTTCCTATGTATGTATGTAGGTAACAAGCAAGAAGTCGGCTACGCCGAGATGTGTGTTTTGTATGCATGTTATGTCGGCAGTAAGGCTGTCAGCAATTTTGAAGCTTATGTATTTTGAACATGTCGGCTTGAGAAGCCTTTTTCTAAGATGTAATATGTATTTTTGTACTTCATTTTATTTGTATTCAAGTTGTAAAGCTATGTAAAGATGTATGCCATTTCATTTGATCTACGCACTGCTCTTATAGACCACTTGTATTTGTATATATTGCTTCCGCACTTGTGAGCCCCGTATATTTATACTCTGATTGTGTGTGAATTTTGAAAGTTGGCCTTCGGTAATCTCGGATTACTGGCCATCACGGCACCATCCTACTAGGGGCGGGTTGGGGTCGTGACAGTAATATTACTCATACGCTGATTAGTCCCAATAATTACATCGTTATTTATAATGAGAGCAAAGCAAACCCTAAAAGCATTAGGAAACAAACAACTAAGTCAATTACTTACTAATCACCTCTAAATCAAAGTAAGTCAATAAACTACCCACCAAAAAATAAATAAAGAAGGAAACAGAGAAAAATTGGATTAGGCTCAAATTTGAATTCTAGAATCAAAAGGATGGATTTTGTAGAAAAAAAACTTAGTCAAAATCAAATTTGTTTTTAAGAAGAAATTGGCAAAAACAAATCTATCCAAAATGGCCAAATTGCAAATCGGATGACTAAACAACGAAATTTGCACAAAATCTACCTTAGATCATGGTGAACCCCAAAATTTGTAGCTGCTCCAAAATTTGAGTTGTCACTACGTTCGCGTTAGTTTTTAGAGTCAAATTATGCCAAATGTTAAGTCTACTCTCAATCTATCCCTCCCAAACCCTGTTGAATGAGGACTAAACCTAGTAACGTAATCTTCTTTTCAGCATTCTTGTAACAACTCCCTGTCCACAACTGCACAAGACCTTCAACTGATCCAGGCACTACCCACTGAACCCCCCACCACTGCAACAGACCAGTCCAAACTCTCCAAACCATAGGACAGAAAATAAGCACATGTTCTATTATTTCCTAATTTACTTTGCAAAAAATACACAATGTAGAAGCACTTCCATCTAGAATTCCAAGTCTTTGCAAGAATATCAATGTTTTAACCTTTTGTTTCCATGCAAGCCACCCAAAAAATTGTACTTTTAAGTGGAAGATATTTGATCCACACCAATCTACTAGAATTAACTAGCTCACCATAAGATAGAGTAGTATAATCATATAAGAATGACACAAAAAGACTGCCTTGTTTTGGTTGCCATCCAAGCAGCTTTATCCTTGACACATGTATTCAACATAGGTGCAGCTCCAAGAATCTCATTGAGTTTGTGAAGTTCCTCTTTCTTCCATTCAAATAAGGGCCTCCTAAAACTAAATTCCCAATTCTCTGAGCTGTCTTTATTCTCAACATATTCTTTGAGTGATCCATCTTTATCATTAGACAACCTAAATAGCCTATGAAACTCCAACTTCAGACACACTTCTCCGCACCAATTTTATTCTATCTAACTCGTATTCTTTTTGAGTTTCATTAAGTCTTGTTTAATGTAATATGACAAAATCATCATTTCTAATATTTTGCACATATTTCTATTTTGAAACTTATACATAACAATAGTCTCTCATTTCATGGAGAAAATCCCTCTCGCATTCCATCGAGAAAATCTCAAATTATGAACTTTGAACCTTTTCATAATTTGAAAATTTTAAAAATAACGAAACAAAAAATCTGAATACAAATCATAATACAATGTGAATGTTTACAGTAAACAATAAACATACAACTAACTTTTGAAAAAACAAAATACATATTAAAATACAATGTGAATGTTCACAATAAATAAAAAATATAAAACTAACTTTCAAAAAAATAAAATACATATCAAAATACAATATGAATGTTTACAATTTATAATTAACATACAACTAGCCTTAAAAAAAATAACTCATACCAATGTAAACATTTATACTGCAACGTAAAAATATAAAACAAAATTAAAAAAAAAAGTGAAAATTGACTATTTCAATTGTTCGACGGTAACAAAAATGATTGTTCAACTAATAAGCGTAGTAACAAAAACAAAAAACATACAATTAACTTTCAAAAAATAAAAATAAAACTTATACAAAAATACAATGTGAATATTCACAATTTACAATTAATAACTAGTTTCAAAAAAATAATAAACTCATACTAATGTGA